AGCCCGCGCCGCCTGACCCCCCGCCCGTCCTTGTGTTGCAGATGAGCCGCTCCGCGCCGAGCTCGCGGTAGCGCCGTGCGAGGCGGAGAGCCATGGGGGAGAACAGTCCCGAGGGCAACGTTATCTGCTATGAGGCGGAGGAAGACGAGCTGGGCCAGGATGAGAACATGCTAAGGTTTGGCGACAAGAACGGGCTGGTGTCCTCCCCGCCCGGCACGGTGTACGACAGGACGACTGTGCTCATCGAGCAGGACCACAGCGTGCTGGAGGACGAGGAGGAGGAAGGACAGTGTGGGGATCACTTGCCTTTTCTACCGGAGGGTCACGACGAAGGATTTCATCTAATAGCAGATCATGAAGGAATGTCCCAGGGTTACGTGCAGCACATTATTTCTCCTGACCAGATTCACCTAACGATAAATCCTGGTTCGACTCCTATGCCAAGGAACATCGAAGGAGCAACACTTACACTGCAGTCTGAGTGCCCAGAAACTAAGCTTAAGGAAGTAAGTGTCTCTGCGTCATTCTGGAGTTTGTGCTTGTTGGAGTGACCCTAAAGGCTTGGACAGTGTGTGTTCCGTGGCTGTTTTCTTGGAGATTCCCTAGTCCTCAGAGGTGTCTGGGAGTGGAGTGAGTTGCTCTTAGTCAGCTGCTCTGGCTGTTAGACCAGCAGTGCTGGGTGCTGGGCAGAGCTGCCAGGGACATCCCTGCTCCCTGTGACCCTGCCAGGCAGCACTGGGAGACACGGAATGACAGGAGGATGTGGCACTGACAGTGGTGCCAGTGGTGTCTGATTCTGGTTGGGTCCTTGTGCAGAGGTAACTGAACACCCTGAGCTCCTTGCTCTGGGGTTAACCACATTCCCAAGGGCAGCACATCCAGGCCAGCGTGCGAGAATTGGAGGTGATCCCTGGCTGGGAACACTCTGGATAACTCGGATTGGCAGGAACCATTGTTACCTGGGGCTGGGGTGAGGTCAGCTCTGCACCTGGGGAGCCTCTGGGCTCAGGTTTGTTCAACAAGCCCATCTGAGTCACCTGTTGCCAGTTGTCCAGCTGCTGAGGTGTTTCCATGTCAGTGCTGTCAGTACTTTTCCCTCCATGGGACACTGAGCCTTGTACTACAGTGTCCAGGGCAGAGGGTGGGAGACAAGCAGGGCCTGTGGCCTATGCCACTCAACTGACTTCATTTCTTCACCTCTCTTTCCTAAAGAAGCTTGTGACGCCTGGAATTTCTTAATGAAATCCATTATTGAGTGTGTTTTCCACTTCTGGAGTTCATGTTCTGGAGCAGAGGCATGGACACCATGGTGAGAGGGCAGTGAGTGTGTGTGACACTGTCATCTTGTCTCTCTGGCTCAAATGCCTGATGGGTTGTCTGGAGATGAGGAGGGAAAGCTCTGAACCCCTTGACCATCTGGCTCTTCTCTGACAGTCAGCAGCCACAGCTTCCTTGGTGCTTCCAAAACATCTGCAGCAGTTCTGATACTTGAAATAACTGTTTTGAAGTCTTAAATTGTCAGGTCAGTCATTAGGTTGAACATTTATGAAGCAAGAGGAGGCTTTGCATTTCATTAGTTACCTTTAGCTTCTTTCTGTTCTATTGTATGTCTCTCTCTGTAATTCTGGTGCTAAGAACAAATGTGATTACAGTTTGTATTTTAAATTAATTAGTTTTCTGTTCAATGATGACACAGGAAAATTAGCCATTGGGGGGATATTGTAAGTTCAGGAGGGGTTAGAGGCAAACTGAGCAGTTGATGAAGATGTTCGTGTCAGGCTCTGCTTCGCCAGAGGTGTTGGGTACTGCCCAGTGAGTTCCTGTTTGTGAGGTAAATGCTCAGTTACAGCTCGCCCAGTGTCCCCTGAGCATGGCCCTGGCAGGGGCAGCTGCTCACTGTACCTGGCCAAAAGCCAAAGTGCTGCAGCCACAGAGCACCTTGTCCTGCCTGTCAGGGGCTTTGCCGTGCTGCCTTGTTTGTTTTGTGCTGTGACAGCCTGGAGCACTTGCTGCTGTAGTTGCCAGGCTTCAAACCAATCCCTCGTGGTGCTGGGTGTATAATCAGTGCTTACTTGATGTGCTGATGTTCCTGCTGTGAAAAGAGAATTAAATGCTTTGCTGCTTCCCGGGAAGTTCTGTTTTGCTGAGAAGGTGGAGGTGCTGCTGCTGTCTGCAGTGTGCTGGGAATAATGCTTGAAGTAAAGGTTTGGCCTCTGAGGAATGAGAAGCTCTGCAAGGCCTTTGTCATGGTTCGCAGTGCTGTTCATCTTCCCTTACATACAGGCAGTGACAGGTGGACCCAAACCCTTAATCTGTAATTAATGTTCTCCTTTTCTTTCTAGACCTAAATGTAAACACCTCTGCCATGATTTTGAGGTGTTTCCTGCCTGTGCCAGGCAGTGTCCTGTGAAGTGTTAATCTCCAGCTGCTTTAAAGCTCTACCAGGGAACATTTACCTCAGTACTGGCACACACATTGTAGAGGATCTGGTGATCCCTGGGGAGATAATGTTCCCCTCCTTGTCTAATAAAACAGACTGTCTGACCTCAGAGCTCTGTTCCTGTGTTGTGACTGACTCAGCTCAACCAAACTTCCCAGCTGTGCTGTAACTGTACTGCACTGCTTGGGCATTTGTTGGGAACTTCTGCCCGATTTGAACTATCAATTAAAGACAAGTTGCTTGTGAAATTGCTGTTCCTTCTCTGTATAGGGTCTCTCAGAACGCTGAGAGACTGGATGAGAGTGAGGGAAGGAATCCCCCAGCTCCCCTGGGCAGGCAGGAGCTCGGCCATGCCCAGCACAGTCAGGCTTTGGCATGCCTGACTGACTGGGGAACACAAAATGTGCCCCTGCCTCCTGCTCCCCAGCTCTGAGTGCTGAGCATGACATGCCCTGGTCTGGGACAGCTCTAGGTCCGTCAGTGTGTGCCCTGAGCACCCCCAGCCCCTCGCTGGCTGAGCAGGGAGCACTGACACAGTCTGTGTCTGTGTTGTTGACCCTGTGTCCTGCACACAGCCCACGCTGAGAAGGAAATCAACTCCACCAAACCCAGCACATGATATGTCTGTGTATCTAACCTGCTTTAATGCTCTCCAAGTCTGAGGTTTCCCGGAGGGTGAAGGTGGCTGCCAGCCTGTTGTGGGAGCATCGACTGCCCCAGTGACCACAGACAGGAAGAGCAAAGCTCAGTGGAGGCTGTCTGGGGGATAAAGTGAACAATAAATGGACTGATGGTTAGGTCATGGGCTCTATTTCTCGCTCAGGGTGCTGATGGGAGTTCAGCAGACAGGGCAGTGGTTTAGAGGGTTGTGGCAGTACATTTTCCCTTGTTGTCCCCCTTCTCCACAAAAAAGCAGCTCTGCTAGAAGCAGCTGAGTGAAATGCAGGTGCTACGTGGGGGTAGCAGACAGGCTTGATGGCCTTTCCAGCTGATCTGTTAGATTCTTAGCTAGAACCATTTTTAATTAACATTTTCTTCTCCCCCTTCTATTGTGTTCCATAAGCCCAGCTCCTTCCTCTGTGCCACTCCTTCCTCACCCAGTGCAGCAGAAACTTTGTTATCTCAGAGCTAAGCGGCAATAAACTTTTTATTTTGGGCTTGGGGGTCAAAATCTGTTCCATTGTCTTTGATGTGTAACTGCAGTTCTATCCTGTCCGGACTGCAGGAATGATTAGGGCTGAGCATGCAGTGTTCTGTCCCTCAGGTGAAGCGCTACCAGTGCACCTTCGAGGGCTGTCCCCGCACCTACAGCACTGCCGGCAACCTGCGCACGCACCAGAAGACTCACCGCGGGGAGTACACCTTCGTCTGCAACCAGGAGGGCTGTGGCAAGGCCTTCCTCACCTCCTACAGCCTCAAGATCCACGTCCGAGTGCACACCAAGGAGAAGCCGTTTGAGTGCGACGTGCAGGGCTGTGAGAAGGCCTTCAACACGCTGTACAGGTGAGAGGTGTTCCAGGCTGTACAGGTGGGAAGTGTTACATGCCATACAGGTGAGAGGTGTTACAGGCTGTACAGGTGAGAAGTGTTACAGGCTGTACAGGTGAGGTGTTCAACACACGCCGTACAGGTGTGAAGGCTCTGGCAGGTTCTCTTCGAGGTGTGGCTGTTGCTGTTCTGCAGGTTGCATCTGCTTGGTGTTTGTGTCTGAACACACTTGTTTTGCTTCTTCCAGGTACAGACATGACTCTAAACCCCCAAATGTGGCAGTGCTCTCCCGAGAGTGGGATGACAGGACTGTGGTGGCATGCTTAGCTTCTTTGTATTCCAGTAGCACCGAAGATGGTGCAGGAACTCAAGGGATTCTCAGCCTGGCTGGGGGACTTTGGAACTGATAACAGTCACTTTCATGAGCTCATTACCTTCCGCTCAGGATATGTTAAGCCTTTGATCCTGTCCTGCACGTTTGAAGGAATGGCTTGCTTGCCTCAGGCCAGGGCTGTCTCATCCCACCAGTCCTAAGAGGATTCTTTGGCATGTTTTTCAGGTTGAAAGCACACCAGAGGCTTCACACAGGGAAAACATTTAACTGTGAATCCGAAGGCTGCAGCAAATACTTCACGACGCACAGTGACCTGAGGAAGCACATTCGAACACACACAGGAGAAAAGCCATTTCGGTGAGTCCTTGGCAGCTCTGTGGGCCCAGGAAATGGGGCACCTGTGCCAAGAGGCCGCTGTTACTGCCCTGAGTGGGAAGGTGTTCTCATGAGGGAGAAGGGAAGGTGGCTGCCACTGGGGCATGTTCGCTCTGAAGCTCCCTCGACTGCCTCTGACAGTGGGTGCAATGACTGTCCTGGCAGGCAGGAATAGTCAAGATACTTTCCTAAACATCAAAGTGTGCCACAAAGAGCATCTTGTGAAACACATTGCTGCTTCTCTGCTGGGATGCAGTGTGTGTTCCATGAAGGAGGCCAAATGCTGACTGACTTCATGCTTGGGTTTTAAAGTCCCACCCAGAGCTGCTGGGAGGTACCTGGTTACTAATATTGCTTAGCCTTGGGCTGCTCTGCGTAGTCCTGAGGCTATTGCAGAGCATGATCTAAGGTTGTAGCTGATGCACCCAAGCAGCCTGATGCTGACTCTCCTGTGATGCCTCTTTCAGGTGTGAGCATGATGGCTGTGGGAAGGCTTTTGCTGCAAGCCACCACCTCAAAACACATGTTAGGACACATACTGGTAAGTCCTGAGGAGTTTTTATATTTTGTCTAATTGAGCTCACTCAGTTTGTATGAACTCTCAGAATCCTGACATGAATGTGTAGTTATATGCAATACGGGGTGACACTGAGCTGGATGGTGCAGGTGACACGTGAGGGAGGGGATGACATCCAGAGGGACCTTTGCAGGCAGCAGTGTGCCCATGTGGCCCTCATGAGTTTAACAAGGCTGAGTGCAAACTCCTGCTCCTGCCTATTCCTGCAATATTCTGTTTGTGCACTTAGATTTATGCTTGAATTTAATGAGTGTTTCACGAACGTGTCAGTAATGATGCATGACAGTTACCTGTTGTGTGTCAGTGCCCAAGGTAAAACAGAAGCCTTCACCTGCAGGACTCCCAGGAATGCTGAGTGTGTGAAGGGACATGAAATGTCTTGTCTGTATGAAGTAGTTTTGCTCTCTCAGGTGCTTTCAAAGTGTCTGATGGGATGTTTGTAAGTCTGTTAAATGTGTTTTGTGCTACCTGTAGGGGAGAAACCCTTCTTCTGTCCCAGCAATGGCTGTGAGAAGACTTTCAGTACCCAGTACAGTCTCAAGAGTCATATGAAAGGTCATGAGAAGGGACATACCTATAATGCACTTCCCAATAGCAGCGTGTCTGAGGTTAGTAGCACTTCTGTGTGAGGTGGATATAAACCCTGCCTTGGGAAAGGAATAATTTGGGCTACAGCTTGTTCTGAAGGTGTATCATCTAAGACTGGGATTGCCGAAGGGAACGTAGTGCTCAGTGTGCTGCACGTGGGCAGGTGTATCCATCAGCCTCTCGTGTGCTTTGGTGGTGACCCATGCTGTGTAGTAAAGTGTGTGCAGAGAGATGTGAACTACCAGGGTTTCATTTTTTGTTGTCTATAGGCTGATTTATTCCTCTGCTGATTCTAAATTCTAGGCTATTTGACTTTGGAAGTAATGTGAGAGAGGTGTTAAGAGTCCTTGATAGCTGCTAAACGTCCTTTGCTTAGAAACATTGCTTCTTTGATTTTAGAACTGATACCTGGGTCCCATACAGGTAAAAAGTTCTATGTAGGCAGAGCTGTATGGACTCTAAACGTTTCTGACCTTATTCTTTCAATAGCTAACTCAAAATCTTGTTCTTTCTTGCAGGATACAAGTCACTCACTGTGTCTGAGTGACTTAAGCCTCATATCAACAGATTCAGAGTTGCGGGAGAACTCTAATCCAGTGAGTTTCTGTCCTGGAATTGCCTCATCCTCATTGGAGCTTTGCTTTTTCCCTCCAAAGTGTGCAGTGCTCAGTTCAACCTGCTGTTGAGGGCTCTGCATCTGATTTTACTGTCGTAATGTTCTTGCTGCTTGATCACTGTTGATTCACAAGAACTAGAGGTTAAACTCAGTGTGGGTGCAGAGGAACATACTTAACTTTTGAAGGAGTTACTTCTTTTTGTAAGGGTTTGCTTGTTATGTTGGTAAATTTGATTATGAGTAATAAAAGCTAAGTGTCATAGGTAAAGTATGTTGCCTTTTCTCAAGGGTCATTGGAGAAGTGTTTGACATCCACACACTGCTTTTGTGCAGAGTTTATGGAGACCTGAGATACAGCACTGATGTCTTCCTCTTTTGCTCTGTGGCAGACACATGGGCAGGACCTCAGCACAATCTCACCAGCAAGCATCTTCGAGTCCATGTTTCAGAGCTCAGACCATACTGCAAATCAGGATGACTCTCAGCAGACAGGTAAGAGTCGCCGGGAGAGCTTTGTGTGCACGCACTTAGTCCAGCATGTCACAGGGAAGCTTAGTGTAGCTCTAAGAAGAGAACAGAGCTTCCAGTGTTGAAATTCTTTGGTGTAGGAGTGCAGGGTGTGCACAGAGGTGTGACCCTCGGCGACAGGGGAGGTGACCTAGCGCACTCTCCTGCGGTGCTGGCCCTGGAGCTCTCGGACTGCCCACGCCACTCGGTTTGCAAGGTTCCCTCTTGAGGGCACAATGCAAACTGGCTGATAAAAGGCTCCTTAGAGAGAGCTAGTCAGGCTGTGTGTAGAGCTCAGTGTTACCAGCTTCCTGAATTTGCACCTGCTTCTAGATTTCACTGTCTAGGGCTGTTCTGAGCA